GACAGTATCTCTATATTTTGGTGGTACTGGGGGGCCTCACGCTTGCTAGACAGGTGCTCTACTGCTTGAGCCACTCCACCAGTACTGTTTTGGGAATTTTCAAGTTAGGGTCTTGAGAACTATTTGCCCAGGGATGGCTTCAAACTGATCTCTGCCTCCTGAGTAGCTGGCATTATAGGCGTGAACCACCAGCACCCACCTTCTAGTCATATTTAAAGACAAAATATTTATAGATCTCCATTTATACATTTATGTTGCTAATGCATAGAAAGTACTGGAGGGATAGACATGAAATAGACATGTGATCCCTACAGTGGGAGGTGTGGTGCTGGGGTTAGTGAAGGAGGATTTCTAACTTTTACCCTATTTCTATGCTACTTGCAGTTTTATGACAATAACATGTTCATGTGCTATTTGTATAATTAAAATTATGCATAAACATGCTCACATATGTCTTAGTTAACTTACAAACTCTCTCTTTCACAAACACAACGCCTCCCCCATACTCTCAGTCTACCCATTTCATAAATGGGAAGCAGGCTGAGAAAAATGACTTCCCAAGGCTACCCAACAAGCTAGAAATGCCAGGATGGAGCTGATATGCACAGAGAAGTCACAGCAGTTAGCCTGGGGTGAGGGGTCAAAGGTAGGAAACAGTTCTCAACCTTGAGGGGTGTATAGCCTCAACGATGAGAAACCCCCCTCCCAAGATTGCAAATTGAAGCAGTCTACACTGGTAAGAACCCAGTTATTAAGAGTCAACATTTCTTGAGGGCTGACTATATGCCAGGCAGAGTGCTAGGGGCTTTAAATGCAATAACTAATTTTATTCCCTGTGATACAGGAACTATAATTGCTACTTCCATTTGCAGATAGAAGGCCAAGTTACAGATGAGTTAAGATAGGAAGCACTGGAAGCTGACCTGAGCCAGTCTTACTCCAATCCTCTCCCCTCATTTTTTAAAGGAATGGGCTCTGGGAAAAGCTTACAAGCCAAGAGTCATTTGAGAAGAAAGGGACAGTCTTATTCTCTTGCGATCCCTGCCACTGACTGTGCAATGTGACTCTATATCCCAGAGGATGGAGTCCTTCTACGGCTCTGTCTTCTTGTAGGGAAAGCATGGAATAAATTTATCAGTAATGAGATATATGCACTGCTTGCTTGGGTGTCAGGCTGGAGGGGAGTTTCTGCCTTTTTTGTTGTTATTGTGGAAAACTTCAAACATACACAAAGTTAGAGAGAAAAGTAGTATGAATGTTCCAGAATGCTTTTGGTGTAAACCATTACTCTCTGCAGGGAAGGCTTGAGGAAGTCTGGATTCACCCATGGTGGGCACTGGGGGTGAGAGGATGAAAATGCTGGGCTGAACCCTGAAGACTGGAGCATCTAAAAACACCACAGCCTGTTCAGCACTGGCTCCACAGGTTATCCCAACTCTGGGGGTAACTCAAAATTTAGAAATGCTCCTTTAAAAAAACTGATATATATAAAAATCATCAGTTAAAAATGTACAATTCATCCAGGTGCTGGTGGCTCACGCCAGTAATCCCAACTACTCAGGAGGTAGAGATCAGGAGGATTGTGGTTCGAAGTCAGCCCAGGCAAATAGTTCTCGAGACCCTATCTTGAAAAACCCTTCACAAAAAAGGGTTGGTGAAGTGGTTCAAGTGGTAGAGCACCTGCCTAGCAAGTGTGAGGCCCTGAGTTCAAACCCCAGTAGTATAAAATAAATAAATAAATGAATTCAGTGTAATTCAGTGGTTTGTAGCATATTCACAGAGGTGTGTGCAATCACCATTATTATGGAGTTGTAATACATTTTTATACCTGAAAGAAATCTCACACTTATTAGCAATCACTTTCTGGCCCCCTCTTGTCTTAGCTCCTGACAACCACCCATCTTGCTCTTTGGATATTTCATATAAATGGAGCCTTGCAATAGCTGGCCTTTGTGTCTGGCTTCTTTTACTTGGCATAATGTTGTCAAGATCCATCCATTTTATAGCATGGATCAGTACTTCATTCTTCCCTGTGGCTGAATGATATTCCATTGTGTGGATAACAAACCTTTTTTTCATCCATCTGTTGATGGGCATTTGTGTTGCTTCACTTTTTTCATTCTATTATTGTAGAATAACTTCTATGCTTGTTCATGTACAAAGTTCTGTATGGATATGTATTCATTTCTTTTGATTATATACCTAGAAGTGGCATATCTGGGTCATATTTTAATTCCATGTTTAACTGTGTGTATGTATGTATGTGTGCAAGAGAGGGAGAGAAAGAGAGAGAGAGAGCAAGAGAGAGAGAGGGAGAGAGAGAGAAATTAGTTAGTTTAGTGAGTCACTTGCTGGGGATCAAACCCAGGGTGTCATGCATAACAAGCACAAGCTGTACCACTGAGTCACATCTTTGGTGCAAGTTTAACTTTTTAAGCTGTTTTTCACAGTGATTTCAGCATTCCCACCAGCTACGCTCAGAGATTCCATTTTTTCCACATACCTACTAAGATTTGATATTTTCATTTTAAAAGAAAGGTTATCACCCCTAGCAGATGTGATGTGGTTTCTCATTGTGGATTTGATTTTTATTACCCAGTTAACTAATAATGCTGAGCACTTTTTCATGTGTTTGTTTTTTGTTTTTGCTATTTATATACTTTCTTGGGAGAAATGTCTATTCAAGTCTTTTGTCTATTTTTTATGGAGTTCTATTTTTCTTACTGAGTTATTAAGCGTTCTTTATGGCTCACATAGTAGAGATCTTGCCTAGCAAGTGAGAGGCCCTTGGTTCATTCTCCAGTACCGTGAAAATTTCTTCATATTTCTGATACTCAGATATGTGATTTGGAAATATGTTCTCTTAGTCTGTGGGTTGTTGTTCCACTTTCTTGGAAATATCCTTTGAAGCACAACAGTTATTTTATTTTGATGAAGTTCAATTTGGTTTTTTTTTTTTTTCATTTGGTTGCTTATGTTTCTGGTGTCATTTCTAAGAAATCAATTCCTAATCCAAGGTTACAAAGAATTACGCTTATGTTATACTTATGCTTTCTTCAAAGGGTTTATAGTTTTATACCTTACATTTAGGTCTGGTCAGTTTCGAGTTGATTTTTATATATGGGATGAGGTAGGGGTAGTTTCTTTGGGAGACTTCTTCTTCTCCTTCTTCCTCTTTCCTTCTCCTTCTCCCTCTTTCTCCTTCTCTTCTTCCTCCTCCTCCTCCTCTCCTCTCTCTGTCTCCCTTCCCCTTTTTTCTTCCCTCCCCAGTAAAACAACCACAAAGGAGTGATAAACTGCTGTTTATTCTTCAACAACCATCATTGACAGTGCTCCCAGGTTCAATTTCCAGGCCTAGAACTGAGGTAGCAGGCCTGAACCATTTCCATGTGGGTAGGATTTGATAGTTTAAGCTTCATTCTCCTATCTGATCTCTTCAATATCCAAGTCAGAACACTGTCCAACTTTAAATAAGAAAATACGGACCTGGAGAGGGTAAGTGCATTGCCTGAAGTCACGCAGCCATCCACCTGGCAGAGTCAGAACTTGAACCTGGGAGGAGAGAACCCAGAAAGGAGGGAGATGGGAGTCCTGGTTGTTAGTCTCAGCTCTACCATGTGTTATTGTGTGAACTTGTACAAGTGATGTCCATCTTGAGTGTCTCAATTTCATATCAGTAGGTAAGGGAGTTGTCCTGAGCAATTGTAATAATAATAATTTACCAAGGTTCTGTGCCAGACACCTTAAATATAACACCTCTAACATTTTTAACTACTTTACAAAGCAGGTACAATCTTCACTTCTCAGAAAAGGAAATGGAGACACTGAAGCCAGTAACTAAGGACCCTAACCTTGTAAATAAGACAATGTTAAGAAACCTATGCTCTGACCTTTCAGTCACTCTACATTTCCAAATCACTCTTCCTTCTTGAGCTTGTTTCCTCCCCAGTAAAAGTCAGTAACACCTCCTGGTGCTGCTGTGGCCTGAGCCATTCATTCTTTGATGGAATCTTATATATTTTTTTGAGACAGGGTCTTGCTATGTGTCCCAGGCTGGCCTTGAACTCACAATTCTCTTGGCTCAGTCTCCTTAGTGCTAGGATTGCAGACATGGGCTACCACATCCTACCTCTTCATTGAGGGAATATTTACTGGGTCACTACAAGATGCCAAACTTGTTCTAGATGAGGTTAGCGCAGAATACAAGACAAAACCCTAGTCTCACAGTTTTTTTTTTCTAGTGTGGAGGTGCAACAAAGAAAGACTAATAAAACAACAACAACAACAACAACAAAAACCAGGTAATTTCAAGAGAGTGATGAATGAGTTAATAGTGTAGTGGAGACAGTCATAGAAGCCTTAAAAGATGACATTTTGGGTTTGATCCTCAGCCAATGCACCAAAACAAAACAAGCACACACAAAAAAGAGATGACATTTGCACAAAGACCTGAAGGATCTGGGGGCAGTCTGTCTACAAAGAAGACAAACGAAAGGTTCAGTGGGAGGGAAAGGCTTGTTAGAAATTGAATGAGGTAAGGTAAGTGAAAGGCAAGTGAAAGTTATGGAATTAATTTCCTGTGCAAGCTTTTATTGTGTGCCTACTATGTGCCAACATCTGTGTTGGGCAGAATTGTCAGAGAGATAAATATAATAAAGATTGTAAGGCGATCACTATCTAGAAAACAGAATATGGTTTTAAGAATGTGCCCTGCAGATATAGAGATACTGCCATAGGAGATCACAGAAGTGCAAGACTAGGTGCTTAAGAAAAAAAAACAAAGAAAAAAGAAAAAAAAAGAAAATAAAATAACTGCTAACAAAGAACAACAACAACAACAAAAGACTAGGTGCTTCGCAGGTGGCGTCAAACCCCCCTCCCGGCGCCAGGGGGCGCTGCACCGTTTCTCAGTTGGACGGCGGCGCGCTCGCCTAAACTTCCGTTCTCTCTGCGCAGCACTTCCGGCGGCTGGCGGAAGCAAGGGCGAGCTGCTGCCGGCTCCGGGGTCCCGCGGCATGGCGGGGGCGGGGCCGGGAGTGATGCACACCGAGTAGGCTGGGGTGTCCCGGCCTCTTGCACCAGGACCGGACAGGTGAGGACTTCTCCTTTTTGACCCAGCCTCCAAAGCCCGTCAGACCCTCCACCTATGACTCCGAGGGCGCGCGACCCCCGCCCTCCCTCAGAATTCCCTTTCCTTTGCGGCTCCTCCCCGGGCTTGTCTTTCCGGGGGCGCCCCCTTGGGCGTGTGTCCCCACCCCTTGGGCGTGTCCCCTCAGCCTTGGTATCCCTTTCTGGTTTTGGAATTCAGGGGCGCGCGGACCTTCTCCAGAGACCCAGTAAGGGGAGAGGACTTGGGATCTTTCAGCCAGGCTCTCTGCTTGTGTATCAGCCCCATTGCTAGACTCAGAATGTGACATCGTTACTGACTGGGATTGAAACATGAAACACAACCGTGCCAGGGGAAGTGTAAATACAGACTGAGACGGTTACTAGGGAAAGGACGAAAAACGGTAGGGAGGCCCGATTTAAATTAGGATGAAACTTCCTGAAGGAGATTTCAGTGCAGCTGCAAACTGAGGTGATTGGCGGTGAGGGGGTTGCATTTCAGGCAAAGGGAGCAGCCCCCAGGGATGCAGAGAACCAGATATCCTGTAATCCTAGCTACTTGGGAGGCTGAGGTCAGGAGGATCGTGGTTCGAGGCCAGCTTGGGCAGATAGTTCTCAAGAACCCCCATCTCCAAAATAACCAGAGCAAAGTGGACCAGCGATGTGGCTGAAGCAGTAGAGCACCTGCTTTGCAAGTGCAAAGCCCTGAGTTCAAACCCCAGAACCACTCCCTTCACTCCCCTCCCCCCACAAAAAAAGTGGGACTTGCTAAGTGTCAAGCACAGTGGTGTAGAGAAGATGATGTTTGTGTTCTGGTCCCCAAGAGCTTGTCATCTGGGGAGGGCCACAGACACAAGTGAAATGCAGAGGCAGGAGTGGCAAGTGTAACAGATGCAGTGAAGGAGTGGTGTGGCCAGTGTTTTGAGATCTCATCTAATGGAGAAGTGAAAGAAGACTTCTCAGAAAGTGACGATTGACCTGGTGTTGAAAGAGAAGTTGGCAAAGCCAGAACTTGGTTTCTGTAAATGGCCACCTAAGGTATATTTTAGGCTGTGTGCCCTCTGGTCTCTGTCTCAGCTACCCTGCTCTCCCTTTGCAGGGCAAAAGCAACTATAAGCAATACGTAAGTGAATGAGTATGAGTATGGTGTGTTCCGAGGAAACTTTATTTACAGGAACAAAAACAGGGAGGTGGGCTAGATTCAGTTTGAGGGCAGTAGTTTAATCTTAAAAATCAAATTGCAAAACCAAAATAATTTAAATTCCTGCACGCATATTTCACAACTCAATTGATGCAGAGAAGTCATCAGTCAGTCCTGCCTTGTCATCAGTTGTGTTTAAATCATTTCTGATCTGCTGAATGTTTCCCTGCCCTTCATTTTGTGAAAATCTGCCTCCCAAAAAGCAGTTGGTACCCAGAAAGAAAGGTAAAAGTTAATATGCTTAATTGAAGTGGTAGAATGAAAGCTTGAGGTTTGTTGAAATGCGGCCCGTCTGTAGTGAAGTTGTGCAGCCCAGTGGGAAAAATGAAAGTGCACATAGTACAGCGCTGGACTCTGGATTCTGAGTGTGTGTGGTTTTTCCTCAGTAGTGGTCTCCCATGGAACTGTATGCCTGCAGATACCAAGGGTCTACTATAAACATTTTGTATCCTTATCCAGTGCTTATAGTTTACGTATGTGATTGAAACAAAGGCTTACAAAACAATACTCTTAGAATATATGATTTGTGTGTGTGTGTGTGGCGCCGGGCATCAAACCCAGGATGTGATGTATGCTAGGCAAGTGCTTGACCACCGGACCACGTGGTTTTATTTGCATTTCTCTGATGGTTAATGAAGCTGGGCATCCTTTCATTTACTTGTTGGCCATTTGCACCTCTTTAGAGTACTGCCTCTTAAGTGATTTGCCCATTTAAAATTGCATTTTGTCATTTTCTTTTGTCTTTGAGTTCTACAAGTTCTTTTATATATTCTGCATATTAGCTTCTTATCAGATGTATGATACCACATACATATCAGATATATGTGATTGACAATTATTTCCTCTCATTTGATAGGTTGCCTTTTCACTTTTGACTGTGTCCCTTGATGTGCATAAGTTTTTAAGTTTGATGCATTCCTATTTGTCTTTGCTTTGGTGTCCTATCAAAAAAATCATTACTAGGCCCAATGTCATGAAGTTTTATAGCTGTTGTCTTATGTGTAAGTCTTTAGTTGATCCTGGGCTAATTTTTGTAAATGGTGGAACAAAAGTGTCTGACTTCATTCTTTTACGTGTGGACATCCAATTTCCCCAAAACCGTTGCTGAGGAAATTGTCATTGGCCCTGATGCTGAAGATCATTTGATATATGCAAGGGTTCATTTCTGCCTCTCTATTCTGTTTCTTTGGCTCATGTCTGTCTTTATGCCACTACCATGCTTTTTTGATTACTGTTGCTTTGTAATATGTTTTGAAATCAAAAAGTAAATTTTTAAAAATTTTCAACACTGTTTTGGCTGTTTGAGGTCCCTTACGAATTTTAGGATGAATTTTTCTAGCTTTGCAAAAAGTGCCATTGGGCTTTTGATAGGGATTACATTGGGTTACTTTAGGTAATACAACCATCCTAACAGCCCAGGAAATATTTTTTGTTTGTATGAATGCACATTGAATGTGATTCTTGTACTGTTCAATTTTGATGCACTTGGAGGTTTATTCATTTGAACGTTCTTATTTGCTGAGCATAGTTGGAAGGTTATTTCTTGTGAGCTCCATCCTTCCCTCAAGCCCGGTTCTTGTCAGGACCACTTTCTGACTATAATTTTGGAAGGAGAAAATGCTGGTCACTGTCATCTGAAGAGCTTCTAGGTTCAGGATATAGAAGAAAAATCTCTTCAGCTTGCATATATTTATGTCTTGGTATTTTCTTGACTCTACTCTTCCATGCAGAGATGTGATAATGGATCATCATGTCTCCACCATTAAACCTCGAAGAATCCAGAACCAGAACGTCATTCACCGCCTGGAGCGCCGGCGGATCAGCTCAGGCAAGGCGGGTACCCACTGGCACCAGGTCCGAGTTTTCCACCAGAATGTCTTCCCCAACTTCACAGTTGTCAACGTGGAAAAGCCTCCGTGTTTCTTGCGTAAATTCTCACCCGATGGACGCTACTTTATTGCTTTTTCTTCTGACCAGACATCTCTTGAAATCTATGAGTACCAGGGCTGCCAAGCAGCAGAGGACCTGCTGCAGGGATATGAGGGGGAGATCCTGTCCAATGGCAATGACCAGCGGTCGGTCAATATCCGAGGCCGGCTCTTTGAACGCTTTTTCGTCCTGCTGCACATTACCAATGTAGCAGCCAACGGTGAGCACCTGAACCGGGAGTGTAGCCTTTCACGGATGACTGCCGGTGTGTCATCGTGGGCTCTGCTGCCTACCTCCCGGACGAGCCGCACCCTCCTTTCTATGAGGTGTATCGGAACAGTGAATCGGTGACCCCCAACCCACGGTCCCCTCTGGAGGACTATTCGCTCCACATCATCGACCTGCACACTGGCCGCTTGTGTGACACACGCACATTTAAGTGTGATAAAGTGGTCCTGTCGCACAACCAAGGGCTCTACTTGTACAAAAACATCCTGGCCATCTTGTCTGTGCAACAGCAGACCATCCATGTCTTCCAGGTGACTCCTGAGGGCACTTTCATCGACGTGCGGACCATTGGCCGCTTTTGCTACGAGGATGACCTCCTCACTGTGTCAGCCGTTTTCCCCGAGGTGCAGCGGGACAGTCAGACAGGCATGGCCAACCCCTTCAGGGACCCTTTCATCAACTCCCTGAAACACCGGCTGCTGGTGCACCTGTGGCGCCGGGCGGAACAGGATGGCAGCGCCATGGCCAAGAGGCGCTTCTTCCAGTACTTTGACCAGCTCCGGCAGCTGCGCATGTGGAAGATGCAGCTTCTGGACGAGAACCATCTGTTTATCAAGTACACCAGTGAGGATGTGGTGACCCTGCGCGTCACAGACCCATCCCAGGTATGGGGGAGCTCTCCTGCCCTGCCCTGCTGCTCTGCTTGGATAGTGCAGCATTTCTCTGCCTGCTGCCAAACCCTCAGGAACACACATCTTATGTATATGTGGATTTGTGCCGTCCTGGGGCTCAAACTTAAAATCAGCTCGTTTTCTCTGGCCGCGTGCCTCGATCTGGGGAGATAGAAGCTAAGTTATGCCACTGCTGTGCCAATGGTCAGCTCTGTGATTACTATCTTGATTCTTCTTTTTCTTTTTTTTCTTCCCTTTTTGAGACAGGGTCTCACTCCAGTCCAGGCTGGCCTCAAACTTGCAACCCAGCCTCTTAAGTGCTGGAATTACAGGTGTGTACCGCTACACCCAACTCAATTACTATGATTCTTCTGCAGAACATTTTCAGTACCCTTGTGATGGAAGCCCAAATGCTATAAGATAAAGGTTTGGACTACTGTGGATAATCTACAGGTAGATTTTGTAAGACTGCTTTTTGAACCAAACAGGCTACTTTGGTTCTGGCAGTGAGAATGAGCACTCTGTGCAATAAAGAAAAACCTCTAGGGCTGTATGTAGCTCAGTGGAGACCCCTTGGGTAACGAGCATGAGACTCTAGGTTTCATCCTCAGCACTGTAGGAAAAAAAACCTTTAAGCAATCTGACCTTGCTGTCCTGCTTTGGTAGTAACGAGTGTCGTTTCCTTCTCCACAAAGTCCCGTGTAAAGTTCATTTGGCAGAGTTAAGTTTTGGGGCTTTACCCTGGCCTTGCTCATGTGCTAGAACCTAACATGTTAGGCTACTGAAAAGACAAAAGGAGCCATGATTTCTGCTCCACCAGGGGAACATCAGGACTACCGTTCTTGAAGGACTTTGCTTTTGTGTGGAAGATTTTGATGTAGGAAAGGCTTTTCTCAGAAGGGAATCAATTGGCACCATACTGGAGTTGAAACAGCTCGTGGAGATTCAGGGCACTTAGGGCCTGTGTGTTCGAGAAGCTCTCCACCTCAGTGTTGACCAAGTAAGAGACCAGCCTTATGTACCCCACCCCAGCCAGTCAACCATCAGCCATGAAGGCAGCCGAGTCTGGCATCTCTCGCTAACGGCAGCTTGTTCTACCCTAAAGAGGTACCGTTCAGGGTGCTGTTTCCTAAGCCCTCACGGTCATCTGTGGTGAAATAGCTTATAGCAGTTTTCTCAAAGCTTGTGTGTTCTAAAAAGGGGAGTGACATTGTTAAGATTAGTTTTTTTGGATTTTTTTCTTTCCTGTCAATGATAACTGACCCACTGAGCCATCACGGTTGAGCATCTAGTTCATCTCGTGTGTCCTGGGAGATTGGCAGTGCAGTCCTTGACTTCTGTCCCTCCTGTCCTTAATTTTTTCCAGTCTGCCCTGGAGAAAGATTGGTAAATGTTTGTGTAATTTTATATTCACATAATTATAGAAGATCCTGGTAAAATCCTGATATGATCAAAGTGTTGTCCAGGTCTATAGAAAGGACATGAGTCAATCTTTTATTTAGGTTTGAGCTATAATTACCTTTCTATTTTGGAGGCAGTAGGTTGTCTGTGATTGCTGCTTTGAGATTATCCTTTTTTCCTTTGCTAAAAGGTGACCTATATTTTTTTTTTCTGGTGGCTATAATCAGTTGTAGGTAGAGAGGCAGCTAGGGCTGTGTCCTTTGCTCAGAGTTTGAAACTAAACCCAACCTCCCTGTCCCAGTTGTCCTCACTCCTCCCCCAGTTTAATTTGATAGGTTCCAATAAGGTTAATGAGTAAAAAAGTGCATCCAAACACAAAGCCTTGGTAATATTATGGGTATTATTCTCAGGTTGCCCCCCAGCCTCTTTAATTTACAGCCAAATTTAATTTCCAGGTGACCGCAAAGCCATGTAATAGGAGCTCTGGGAAGGACTAATTACTAGTAAAACAGGTGGGCCAAATGGCTCCAGAAATTGGTAATGGAGATTTAAACTCAATCAGAGGACGTGAACTACTAATCCCAGTGTTCTGAAAACTACTAGAGTCCTGTTAGAAGCTTGCAGATTAATTTACACTGCTACATTCACTGTGAAAAAAACCTCAGAAGTTCTTGGAGCTTCTTCAAGCAGAGCACTGGAGGTTTAAAGGAAGAGGGCCAGTCACCCAGGGGCCCATTCAGAAAAAGTGGTAACTCTGCCACCTATGGCATTTGAATGCTTTTCAGGTTCCCCCTCTGATCTTAATTGCTAGAAATCTCAAATGTGTCTTACAAATGCTCTTGGCTGAAAGAAACATTTATGAAGAAAGAAATGGAAAATGCCTCTTTGATTTTTTTTCATTTGTTCAGAGCAGTACCCTGCGTGGATACAACTTGCCCGGGCAGTTTTAGCACACAGTGTACTTAAGGCATCTCTCTGCATGTTAGAAATATTAAGAGGGAAAAATAAATGCCCCCCAAATTGAACTTTCAACTGTACCCATACAAGAAAAAACCATTTGCCAACAGGCAGCCTCAGGCTGCAAATCACTTTCTCAGCAGGAAAGAAAATTAAATGAGGCATTTTTCAAAAAGTGTTTTTTATCTCAGAATGGGTTGGGGAGCAAGTAGGGAATAAACACTTGGAAGGAAAAATATTGAATCTGCACAGTTTGAAATGGAAAGATTGAAAATCTTTTTATACATGTCTGCTAGCAAGTCAGCAACTCCAGCAGCACAGATGTAGTGAAATCTGAATTGATAAAGCCACTGCGCTTCCTCCTTTCCCAGAACTGCTGGGAGCCATGTTTCCACCCTAGTGCTCAAGCTGTTTTGTTTGGGTGGTGTGGATTTTAAGCCATGTGACAAGTTCCCTAGGCATGGCATTACTTTGGCTGTAACAGCTCGCACTCTTCTTCCGCAGGCCTCTTTCTTTGTGGTGTACAACATGGTGACGACTGAGGTGATCGCTGTGTTTGAGAATACCTCGGATGAGCTTTTGGAGCTCTTTGAGAATTTCTGTGACCTCTTCCGTAATGCCACCCTGCATAGTGAAGTCCAGTTTCCCTGCTCAGCTTCTAGCAACAATTTTGCAAGGCAGATCCAGCGCCGGTAAGCTGTTCCACCAGGCTTCATTTTTCTTTAGAAAGCTTGTTGGTGTTTGGTCAGTAGCTGTTTCCTCCAGGATACCCACTACCTTCTCTCTTCTCTGTCCACCTGGCCTTGGTTGGGTCTGCCTATTGGAGGAATTACTTGGGCCTTGTCTGGATTGTTCCTAGACTGTGTGTGAGCTGCAGAAAGATGGACCCTATGTCCTCAGGGGTACACTGTCATGCACTTGAATATTTGTTAAGTGAATGATTAAGGAAATCATTTTAGAACTTTTGGTTCAAATATGGTATGTTGAACACATGCATTTCTCTTTGTTCCATTGCAAAACCCCATTAAAATGAAAATGAAGAAATAAGAGGTATGAAGCATAAGAACAGAGAGAATGGGAGAGGAGATAATTGGAGACAGGAGATGCCAACAAGGCTTAGAAGTTGAGAAGCCCATGGATGAGTGATAACTGATATAGCACACCTCAGGGAGTAAAGACTTAGGGCTGCAGAGCCTAGTCATTAAGAACCAAGCCTGCCTCCCACCACAGAACTCAGGAAGCTGGAGGCTCCGGGTACTTCTGAAGGTACCTCTGAGGTAGGCTGAAATCAGGAGGATTGGCTAAATTCTTATAAGTAGCAGTCACTGCCTGGTACAGTGGCTCAAGCCTGTAATCCTAGCTAAGTGGGAGGTAGAGTCTGGGATGATCATGTTTTGAGGCTAACCTGGGCAAAAAGTTTGAGAGACCCCATTCCAGCTAATAAAAAGGTGGGCATGGTGGTGCACATCTGCCATCCCAGCTACAGCAGGAAGCCTGAATAGGAGGATTACAGTCCAGGTCAGCCAGGGCATGAAGTGATACCCTATTTCCAAAATAACTAAAACAAAAGGGCTGGGTTGTGGCTCAAGTGGTAGAGTGACTGCCTACCAAGCACAAGGTTCTGAGTTCAAACCCCAGTACAAAAATAAATAAATAAAAATAACTTGACCCTAGATGCTAAGTTTTATGGCAGTCTTTCCCAGTAGTCTTTTGGTAAAAATAAAAGAAAATGAGTCCTTATGGGTCAGAATTAAAAAAAAAAAAATGGACACTGTGGATCATGAATCATTTAGGGAAAACTCTTACTTGAAAGAGACCCAAACAAAACAAACAGATTAAATAATGAAGTGTAGGGAAACAGTGTTGCATTCACTGGAACAGTTGAAGGTGCAAAAGCAGGAACAGTACTAGATAGTGAAGCTCTTGGAAAAAGTTGTTAAATATAGTGAAAGAACTCTTAAGAAAAGAAGAACATACGGAAAACGAGAGAAATAGTTAAAATAATTAGAGGACTTGCCAAGAGGTCCAGTGTGTGTGGCTAATTCCAGAAGGAAGGAGTCTGGACACTTCCCCAGCACTGCAGGATGTCACTTTCCAGATTGGCTAGACTGTCCAGTGGTATTGTACTAATTGTCAGGGAGTTTTGTAAGCTGATCATTAAGCATAGCCATTATTAAAGTTTAATTATTTCTAGTTATTTTACCATTATTTATGCTCTTGAGGTTATTTTTATGTATGTGGTGGAAACTATATTTACAATGATGTGCTGTGGCTCATCTCCTGACAACTCCATGCTTGGTAACATTTGTCTCTTGAAGTTGTCCACAGCAGGAAGCTCTGTATCATAGAAATTGGCAAGTGCTACGAATCATGACTGTTTTCTGCCCCAGAGAAAAACTGTAAGCTCTACCAGCATACCACTGAGTCCATCGGGGACCTTGGACAGTCAGTGGAAGAGACCCATACTGAGGCATGTCATAGTGAAAATTTAGGGCATTGGAGATAAAGATAATATTGTAAAAACTTCAGAAACCATAAACATTTCACATGTAAAAAATAAGTCATCAGAATAGCATGGGACTTACTGCTATAGTGACAACTTGAAGCCACTAGCGTCATGCCCTCCAAATTCTATGATAAAGGTGTTTTCCCTCTGGAGTTCTACATCCAAATCATAGGGTAGGACAAAGACATTTTAGATATGTAAGGCTCAGAATATCACCTGCTACGTATCTTTCCCTCTGAAGCCTCTAAAAGATTCACTTCACCTGTAAGCCACAGAGGAATGGTGTGCAGGAGATAAAGAGTCAGGCATTGCAGAGAGGCAGAGTTCCCAGGATGGTGTAAAGGGAAGCTGCACGATGACAGCCCGCGGTCAGACCAGATGGAAGATGGAGAGTAGAAGATTCCATGAGGCAAGTGTCCTAGGAAAAAACAAAACTGCCGTATCTGGTGGGTTTGAATACATTAAGAAATTGTCAGTTCTGCTCTAGTAGGGTTATCAATGATGTGTGAGCAAAGCTTTTGAAGAAGGTTAAGTTGCAAGCCTTGCGGGCACCAGGAGGAAGAATGTACCAAGGAAAAGGAATGGCAAATATTAAGGCCGGGGGATGTTTCTGATGCATTTGAGGGACACAGAGGAGGCCAGGGTGACTGGATTAGAATGAACAAGGGGCAGGGCAGTTGGAGAAGGGATCAGAGGCTAAGTCTGGAGGGTTGATACAAATGGCCATTCTACAGCTTTGGCTTTAACTGTAGCTGAGACAGATGTGCAGTGTTGAACAGAGGAGTGACAGAGTGTCTCTTAGGTTTAATAGGATTGCTCTGACTGCTTACACCCTGGAGACGAATACACTGGAGGGGTAAGGGTAGGAGTGGGGACCAGTTAAGAGAATATTGAAAGAAAATTGTTGTATTCTGTTTCCTGCCACTGGTATGTAAGGTTTTTTTTTTTAATTCACTGGTGTCTCCTATGAGCCTAGAGTATTGTTTGGCACATACTAGGCCCTCCGTAATTATTTGTTGATTAATAGTGGTGGTTTGGATTAGGTAGTAGTGTTCGGGTTGCAAGTAATTATACTCTCAATGTATTTGAAAGTAGAGGCCGGTAGATTAGTGGAGGATGGGATAAAGCCTATGAAAGGGCAAAGTCAAAGGTAATTCTTACGTTTCTGACTTGATCACTTGCAAGAGAGGACTGCCTTTAAATTGCAGTGGTAAAGCCTGTGGGTAGAGCAAATTTGGGGAGAAGATGGGACGCTCCCTAAGTAGACAGGTTACTAGTTTCTCAGAGGAAAGAGTGTTGTTTGTGTCAGAGCTGCCTGATGGTCAAGTGCAATGAGGACTGGTAATTAAATACCTTTAGTACAGTCCCTTGGTAACCTTGACAAGAGCAGTTTCAGTTAGATGGGGGGATGGTGGTGAAGAAGAGTGGAAGGCCGGTGTGGCTCATTGGTGGTGTGGTGGCCCATGTTCAAGCCCCAGTGCCAAAAAGAAAGGGAGGGAGCGAACATAGAAATAGCTGGAGACAGTATAAAAAATGAAATCAGTGCGGTTTTGAGGAGTTTTGTTGTAAAGAAGAACCAGAAAGTGGTGTGTTAGCTGGAGGGGCAAATGATAGTAAGTTTTTGTTTTCCTTTTTTGCTTATTTATATATTGAGGTTTTTTTGTTTGTTTGTTTGTTTTTCTGAGACAAGTTCTCATTATGTAGCCCAGATTGGCCTTGAACTCTAGATCCTCCTGCTTCACCTCCTGAGTGCTGTGGGATTACAGGTAAGCGTCATCATGCCCAGCTTCCCTGTTTTTTAAAAGGAAGGAAAAAATGTCATGTCTATGTGCAAATGAGAGTGATCCTATAGAGAAGGGGAGACTCGATAGTTTAGAAAAGTGGGGAAGGATCCTATATACACATGAGAGGGGGTGGAGTCTAATGCACAGTGGAGAGATGGGCCAGATGTTGGGCAGATGTGCTGCTGGAGCCTTACAGTCTTCTTTTTATCAATATCAAGTAGCAGTGCCATTAGCTGAAAGGGAATGTGGAGAATGGGGGAGAGTGGAAGAGAATGGGGGAGAGTGGAAGAGAAAGGGAGGCTACCTGCAATGTGGAAGTACAGCCTGAGTGCCCAATACATTAAGGCTCGTGGTCATAAGTTTTAAGTGGGTATTGCTATATGCTTTTTTCCAGCCACAGAGAGAAGTGAGAGGACAGAGGCATGGAATAGGTAGAACTGAGCTTCATTAGTGTTGTAATTCTTCTAAGTGACACAAAGGAAGAGAGCTCAAGGTTGTTGAGGATGTTTTCAGTGGAGTGATTGTCATGATTAACTGGAATGTAAGCTGACTAACGAGGGAAGGGTGTACAATGGGAAAAAGTTGGTAGAGTCAGTGTACTGTGTGTCCTATGGGGGCTGAAGGGTTGTTGAAGTTGGGATGAGTAGAGAGGGAGCTGGAAAGATAGTGGGATGGCTGGAGAATCTGATGGTCCACCTGAGGTGCAGAGGGGTGCAGCTGTTGGTAATGATGAGGTTGAGGGCATGACTGTTGGATTAAGTGACTGTAGGAGTGAAGCTGAGAGCAATCAAGGAGCTAGGAGGCCATGGTGTTAGAAGTGTCGTTCCTGAGAAGTTTGAAATCACCAGAGTGAAGAGAGGTTAGTTGGATGGAGTGACACTGATCCAGGAGCTGAGGTGAAGTCAGAGGGAGTGGCTGTTTTATCTTCTGGTGGTGGGGATATGGAAAATGGAGGAAGCAGGTGCCATGGAGGAATAGAAACTGCTTCACTCTAGATTGTCATCGGTGCTTGGCTGCGATCATCACAATGCCATGAGCTAGCACCTTGTTACCTGAGCCATGAGCCAGGCAGGGTGTGGGTTAGGAACTGGCCCTAGATCTTTACTGCAAACCAAAGAGCATGGCAGTTTTTCATCCAACTCAAATGAAAGGGATACAGTCTTTTTGGCCCAAGGTTTAGCTTTATGATCAACAGGAGGCTATGAAGAGGACGGTGAACAAGAATAATGGAGAAGCGGTGTTCATAGTGAAGCTTCCTTCTGGGCGAGAAGTGCTCATGGCCATTGAGCCCCACAGATCAGCAGTGAAAACAGAGATCAGCCCCCTCCCACAACCAGCCTTTTATCTCATTAACGTTGGGAAAACTCCAGTATTTATTCCTGTGGATTCAGGACTAAGACACTATGTCATATTTTACCCTGGATTAAAAATGATTTATTTCCCCTAAACTGTTAAACCAAATATAGAGGTAGAGATTGGATACAGATTAAAAAAAATGTACTATTAGACAATTGTCATTATTTCTAGAAACTGGGAAGATGGAAAAAAGTTGAAAATGTCATTTATACCACCACGACTATATAGTTGTGTGTGTATATATATATATATATGTGTAAAAATGTGTTCCTGGTAGTCTTTTTTTTTTTTTTAGTCTTGTTTTTAATTTTACTGTACAGGTAATATTGTAACCTTCTTGTACTAACTATTATTGACAAAAAAAAATGTTCTTTGTTACCACATAATCTTTGAAAATTGTAATTTTTCATTAGGTTTTTATTTTTGTGTGTAATTTCTCCTTGTCTTAAACAACTCATTGTGCCATGTGCACAGAGCTTTGTCTGCCTGTAGAAGTGTTTCCTTTGGGTAAAGAACAGAAGTGCGTGGTCAAAGTACATGGTCGAGGACTATTCAATTTAGTATTCCTTACAGTGGTAAGGAATAACTGCTTCGTTGTTATTTTCAAAGGTAAGTCAGGGACTGGAGGCATTTCCTTGGAAGCATGAAGCCCTGAATTCAAATCCCAGTGCCACCAAACCAAACCAAAAGAAAAAAAGCAACCTGAGTGTGAGTGTGTCTGTCACTGGACACTCCTATTTCTGCAGGACTGAAGGTGACTGGTTCTCAAACTGTAAGCGTAGAATGAGCAGTTTCTCCAAAGGTTTGGTGGAAGGTGGTTTGCAACTGTTCCCCAGAAGAGTGCATGAGGGTGCTTCTGCTCAGGATTCTGTTCTTCTCCACTCTTTCCTAGGCAAAGGCTTTGGGGAAAATAAATCTTGGGCTTTTCTCCAGTTGAGCCGTGACCAGAGAAGAGAAGGAATAATAGTTGTCATAGACCAGTTACATTCATTTTAAACTTCCTAGTCATCTTTGCTCCCTTTTCTAAAGTAATTTAATATACCCCACTTCTGTTTTCTGCTTCATAGGCATATGTAGCTCTCCAAACTTACAAATAGTTTTTTTTTTTTTTTTTAACTGTTCTGGGGTTTGAACACTGAGCTTCGTGCTTAAGGCAAGTACTCTAGCACTTGGGCCACACCCCGCAGCCCATCAGATGTATGATGTACCAGAAAGTTCCTTTTCCATGGATATCTGGGATTTAATTCTCACCGACTGAGTGAGTTAGACCTGTGTCTGTCGATTTGAAACCAAGGCAGCTGCTGGGAAAGCCTTCCTCACTGGTGCTTTGTTTCAGGTTCAAAGATACAATTATAAACGCCAAGTATGGCGGGCACACGGAGGCGGTACGCCGGCTGCTGGGACAGCTCCCCATCAGCGCCCAGTCTTACAGTGGTAGCCCCTACCTGGATTTGTCTCTGTTCAGCTACGATGACAAGTGGGTGTCAGTCATGGAGCGACCCAAGACCTGCGGCGATCACCCTATCAGGTACCTCGTCACCGCCACAGCTGCACTACTTTTACTTGCTCTTTCTCTCGGATGTCACTTCATGGTGACTGTCTCCACTTGTGCTCGTGGCTAGACTGAAAGGGCAGCTATTTCGGTAATGTGGTGAGTGCTTTGATCATTTAGGCATTAGTCCCACAAACTCACGACTCCTGCTCTTTGCTTCCCATCAAAACATCTAACTCAGATAAGTGCTGTCCCCTTTTAGAGGTGTCCAGGGAAAGAAGCCATACTTTTCCATCTATGATAATAAACACTGTTCTGTAGTGGTGTTAGTAATGAAGACTTTATTATTAAATCTGACTCAAAGCTGGAGTGTGGAAGATCTTTTCACACAGAAGCAGTGACATTTAGAGCTCTGTAGGAGATACGTTTCATCTTCCACCTTCACTGTGTATTAAATGGGTCTGTGTAATACATTCTATACAATTAATCACCATTCATAATATTTCCTTTGGGAGACTGCAATCAAATTCCAAAAACCAGCTTAAAGCTCTTAATTTTTTTTTATCATGGAATGTTTTAAACATATATAAAAAGTAAAAGAGCATGGTGACCCTCTGTGTCCCATCACCTAGCTTCAGCAGCTACTGTCTCCTGACCAATCTTACTTCATCTCTTTCTACAACTGCTGCCTTATCTACTCTCCACTGCCACCCTGGGTCATTTGTGGCATATCTTAGTTATCCTGGCATTTCACTCAGGAACATTGCAGTGGGGCATTTCTGAAAGCCAAGAGTTTTAAAAAACAATGACTCTTAATATCATTATCCCATGTAAAGAAAACAAGCAAATACTATTAATACCACAGAATAGCTAGTCAGTTTCCACACTTCCCTTTTGCCTTGTAAATGCTCTTTTTACAGTCTCTTTGTTTGAGTTGGGACCCGAACAAGGCTCGTCTGCTGCATTTGGCCTTTGTTCCCTTAAGTCTTTTATTTTCCAGGTCTACTTCCCTTGTATTTTCCTTGCAGTAGAATTGTTGAAGAAGCTAAGTTGTTCATTCTGTAGTGTTCCCTATATTCTAGATTTTGCTCGTTGTGTATTTACCATATTTCTCATCCCCCCATATGTCCTGAAAACTGGTAGTTAGACTGAGAAGTGCAAACTACTCACTCTAAATGGCAAGCCCTTTGTGTGTTGGGGACTACTTGGGGTGCTTAATGTGCTTTTCACACATAAAAGCATGTAATGGGCCTCATTTGATGTGGTCAAATAGCAGGAGATACATTTCTATCCTTTCTCACTTCCCTGCCTTTCTCATTTGAAAGGATGAACCTAAGTAACACATCTGACACTACTTTTCCTGGGACCAAAGTGGTTTCTCTTCTAATGTTATTTTTAATTGCAATCAGAAACGTGAGGACGTTAAAGGCATGTGAAGAGCAGGTGGCATCACTCTAAGACCTTTGCTTTCTTTCCATTCTAGTCCTTGCCAGTGTGTATGGCTAGCGTCATTTTGTAGTCTTTTAATTGAAAACCATTTCCCTCTTGTTACCCGGTCCTCACAGCTGCAGTCCTAATGAGGGAATAGCTTTCCATCAAGTAGATGCACCATGATTTAATATTCCCCCATTACCGGACATTTATTCTTACGCATTTTCACATTAGAGTGAATGTTAAAGTAGCCATCTTCAATCATGCTGTTACTTCATATAAATTAAATTCCACAGATGTGACTTCTTGGGAATGAGATTATTCCATCAAAAATGTGAATATCTTTGGGTCTGCTTATATGTTTGCTTTCCACAAGGGCAGTTTTAGAGCTTTTAAATTCAGGGTGCTTCATTTCTAGAAATTACCCTGATTCACCCCCAACCTGTTAACCATCTCCAGGTCCCAAAGCACACGGCATGTGTTTTGCACGTGGGAAGCAGCGAGCATCTGTAGTCTCACTGTGTTACATGAAAAATTAAAAACTAGTTACTATGTTGTTTCTGTATGAGAAAAAGAACTTCCAAAGAATATACAAATGAAAAACTTAAAGGTGGGCCCAGAGCTGCACTGCCCTGTTCGGTGGCTGTTGAGCACTTCGGTGAGATGAGTCCAACTGAGATGCGTTCAGTGTCAGATACACACCAGAGCTCAGAGATGTAGGAAAAGTTAAAAGAATGTGAACTGTCTCATTATGGTTTTTATATTGATTATAGGTTGAAAGATTCTATTTTAAATATATTGGATTAAGTAAAGTATATTATTAAAATTAATTTCACTTTTTTTTTTTTTTTTGAGACTGGGTCTCACTATGTAGCCGAGGCCTTGACTTGCCATCCTGCCTCTGTCTCCTGAGTGCTGGGTGCTGGGATTATAGGTATGCACTGGCTTTTAGTTTTTTTAATGTGACTTCCTGAAAATGTAAAATTGCACATGTGGCTTAGCTCTGTAGATTGCATTTCATTCCTAGCCCTGGCCTAGACAGTTTCTAGGCACATGTTCTGGAAGTAGGGAGGCTGTCAGTTAGGGTATATATAACTCAGGGTCATCTTGAGAAAGAGAAATGACCAGTGACTCAGGACATACAGCAAAATTTGTAATCACTCTTCCCTAAGATGAACTGTTCAGACCAGGGTTAGTTTGTGGAGTTGCTAACCTGGGGCTAATGTATAAGGAGATTTCATTAATCAGGTAAAACAGTGAGTTGTTGCACCCCCAACCCCACTATCCAGATCTCAAGGTGGTGACAGATTTCAGCACTGCCCTCTGTCTCTCCTTTCTGTTCAGGTTCTACGCCCGTGACTCTGGCCTGCTCAAGTTTGAGATCCAGGCAGGCTTACTGGGCCGCCCCATCAACCACACTGTGCGACGCCTCGTTGCCTTCACCTTTCACCCTTTTGAGCCGTTCGCCATCTCTGTGCAGAGGACTAACGCGGAGTATGTTGTGAACTTCCACATGCGCCACTGCTGCGCGTAGCCCTCTTGCCCCGGCCAGGCCATCTGCCCTTCCGGACCTCGACCCTTCTCGTTTTGTGGGCAGCAAAAGCTGATGACTGCCACTGGTGACCCTCACATGGACAGAGCCAGACAGAAGAGCGAGGGGTGCAGTGTAGTGGAACTTTCTGGGTCCTCTTGCCTTTTCCCTGTGGGAATGCCCAGCATTACTTACATCTGTTTAGTTTTTGTTTATTTAGCATTTATCGCTGTGAAGATAAAAGCATTACACCTTTACCCATTTGTGTCACTTCTTTGGGATTATGGTCTGCAGCCTGAAGCAGAAAAATTGTGTTTACTCATAGAACTGTATACATCCTTTTCATTTATGCAGCAAGCAGGGCTGTCTTTATAAGAAAAAAAAATAAAGCCTTGGTATTTTCTTACTTAAATATTTATCATTTGGTGACTGCTTTATGTTCTGTCACCCCAGCACTTTTTGAATACTTGGCCTGGGAGGGACTGTGAGAGAGACAAGGGCCTTGGATACAGCAGGTGCTCCCAAGAGCGTGAAGTGGCAAGTGCCAGCGTGGAAAACAGGTGTCTGCCAGGATTGTCTCCTCCCTGCGGGTTTTCTCCTGGAAACGGTTACAGCTGGAGAAGCACAGTGTAATTGCACATTCTTATGTGGTAGCATGCACACGTCTGTGCCATCTGTGTCACGCAGGTGGAAGAGCAGGCAGCCCTGTGAGCCACAACAGAAACAAACACAGTGTAGCACGTACTGTCCTTCGGGTAGTGGGGAGCTGGCAAGCTCCAGGTGTCCCTAAAGAGATCAGACTGGTTGTCCTTGGGTGGTCGAGCTGTCATAGGTATCCACAGACACCTGCTGGCCCCAATCCTACATCCTTCTGTCACATTCTCAACCAGTTTGCTCCAGAGGGCTTGTCAAACTGTTCTCCCTTTTATCTGCATAACGAATTCCCCAGAAATGTAGTAAGCTTGTTTAGGAACACCTGCCTTTGAAGGTTGCTTTGAAATATCTGTGAAAGGAGCCACAGACAAAAACAGCTGGATCCTGTATCCCTCCCCTCAGACTTCATTTGGAAACATGAGAAATGCAGTAGGAGGGGCTGAGCCCCACCAAAAACAGTTGAGTTAATTTCCTCACCTTCAGTACTGAATAGCTAAGTGCATTCTCACTTGGCCTTCAGTACAAGATGTGAAGACCTATGAGCCAGATAGACAGTACACCAGGATGCTGAGGACGAGGAGAAAAACAGAACATTATGAGTACAAAGCTCTTAGAGTGTCTCCGACAACAGTAGAGGGGCAGGAGAAAGGGACACTGGAGCTGGATAAGTAGAAGCATGTTGTGGGAGCCAGGACAGAGGACATTTCAAGTAGAGTGGAGCAGGTGCAAAGGCATGGAGCATGAGTAAGGGCTTTGAGATCCCAGCAAAGCAAGTAATCGAATTGGTGCAGCATAGGCTGGAGTGGGGAGGCGGGGCTGGGGTGGGGAGCGAGGTCTTGTGCAGGTGCTAGGGGTTTATGTAGTGGAAGGTGTAATACAGATTTCACCAAGGTAACTGGAAATGGTTGGGAAGGAGTAATGACAAAAAAGCCACAGATGTGTCCAGAGAGTGGCGTGCTCAGACAATGTCCTGGGGCCTCTGGATAGATGAAAAACTTTGAAGCTCATGATGATTACAGGGTCCCAAAGCTTAGTGATGTCATTAGGTATTAATAGCACTTGTGTCCTTAGACTGTATTACTCATTGCCCCAGGAGTTGTTTTGTTTTGTTTGTTTTGCCTAAGAGTTTGGTCAAGTATTAGGGGGATTTTTGACTCAGCCAAGCAGCAAGAGCACAGGCTGTGAGGTTGCTCTGGTGAATTTTGGCCTTTCTCATGAACGAATGTGTGATCAGCCAGTTTCCTATTCTGAGACTCACTTTGCCCTTCCTTCTGCCTTAGTCACACACTTCCCTGGTTATATCTTTTGCTCACCTCTGATGCGCAGCTCTGCAGTATTGGTTTCATACACCCATTTGACCACTTGCAGCCTCTACTTCATCCCCACTATATACGACTTTGGCCTCACTAACATCTCTGACCCCTGACCTTCTCTGGATCAGTTGGGAGAAGGCTAAACTGAAAGGTTCCCAATTCAGATTTCCCGTGACTTGTACCGTCTTCACGCGGATTCCCAACAGGCTTCTCACAACCAGCATATCCATAACAACACTGATTCCTACCCCACCACCAACATACTTGCCCGCCAAGATTTCCCCCGTGATTTGCTGGAGCCTAAAACTTGGGAATTAATCTCAGTTTCTCTTTTTTTTTCTCCATCCCTCTCCATTCCCTTCCCCACCCCCATACCTGACTTTATTCTAGGGATGTGCCCTGAGTAGTTTAAATCAATTGTGACTGTCCCATGCCTTGCTAGTGACATGGCCAAAACCAGTCAGCCTAACAGATTAGTTTAGGCATCTTAAGTCTTAATTCAGGTCCGTGACACAATGAGGTAAAGATTTCTGGGAATAGTCCTTTTTTGAGGAAGTCAGTGAGGAAAGGTGGAGTTCACAATTATCCAAGCCTCCATGACCATACTCAAAAAGAATCAGTCTTTGGCTAAAGCTGATATGGATACAGAATGGAGAGCAGGAAAGATCACCAATGACATGGCTGGTTAAACCCAAAACTCACCCTAAACTGGATTTCCAGTTCTGTTGTTTAAGCCACTTTGAATTGGATTGTCTGTTTCTTGCAATTCAAAACAAATTAATCAATGCAAAGAGACAGGTCTTTGTGGAAAGGTTCATGAAATCCTTTTGAGATGTTTTTTCCTGGACTCAAGGGGTCCTCCCTTCTCAGCCTCCAGAGTAGCTGAGACCAAGCACGCACCACCACACTGGGCTTAGATTCCTGAAATTCCTGGTGGCTGGGTGCCTTCTTAGATTCAGTTCCAGTTTCCACAAAGCCAGATGATGCTAGGTAGGACTCCTGTTGGATTTCTCTAAGATTCCTGGTGATCCTATGGCTCCCTACAGACATCCTTGAGTGGGTCTGAGTGTGACTAAGAGGATTTAACTAAAACGAGATAAAACACTCAGCCCACTGAGAACTTGACTGACACTAAGTTCTTAGTCTCTATGTGCGTATTCCTATTAGTTTTGTTCCTAAGGGATTTGAGGTAGCTCTCAGTAAATTCTAGTGTCTTCTCTCCACAAACGTCCAGTGAATCTCAAGAGTCTTTGGAGAATTTAGAATGTTCAAGAAAAGCAGGGACAGACTTCAGGGAATCTGTCTTTCAAATCAGAATTCTTCCCTGAACCACTCTGTCCTCTTATTCCACTTGGCAGAGAGCTGGCATGGCCATATCGAGTGAAGCTGCTTGGGACCTCTGAGAGAAAGGTTCTGTTTCAGTCTGGCAAAGCCTGTTTTGCTGGGAGCCCTTGCAGAGAGGCAGAGCATAAATGAGTGTAAAGCCCAAATTAGAAAAGTTTTAAAAGGACAGTAGCTTCATTATTTTCGAGTACGAAGAGTAACAAACTCAACAATCAAGTGTTTCTTTGCAGAGGCCCTTCGGGCATTGCTTAATGGGTAGATTATAATTATTGGTAATAGCCTCACGGTTTTCTGCAATGCGTGCTTTGAAAGCAGTTGAGCATATTAAGTGATTGTGATGTTCCAGAGGACAATTCTGTTTACAACATTAATTTGCTCACTTTAAACCCTCTGTTGTTTAAAAGGGAAAATTTAAAGGCTTTCTCCATCAGACAACATTTGGCTACCCCTGTACTAAGAGGACTGGGGTTCTTCATTCCTGGTACCCTGATAGAATTTTGGGAATCACTCTGGTTTGCATTTGAGGCCTGGTGCAAGCACCTGTGAGCTGGGTGACCCTGGGCTCGATAATAAGACCTCTACTGAGCCTCAGTTTATCCACTGTAAATGGGATAATTTATGTACATTGCACTGAATGAGTATTAATGAAAGCTCTCCATACAGTAAGTACTAAATGCTAGCTGCCTTCTTCCTTCTTGCCAGACCTTTTGGCCTATATGGAAGCTTCTCCCATCTACTTGGTGTCACAGAGATGGCTGCCAACCGTGGTAGTACCTCTTCATTCCCTGGTAACCAGTTGACAAGCTTGACCCTTCTCCAGGCCTAGGCTTCTGCCCACCCACTGGAGACTGTAGCATCTGAGGGGTGACATTCTGTTTCCACTGCTTCTGCCCCAACATACCCAGATCTGAGGAGACATCCCTATGTGTCTACTGCTGTTATGTTGCTGATTAACATGTTAAGTCAGGAGCCAAGTTGGGTGCCAGTGGCTCACTCCTGTAATCCTCGTGACTTAGGAGACAGAGATCAGAAGGATCAAAGTTCAAAGCCAGCCTGGGCAAATAGTTTATGAGACCCCATCTCGAAAAAAACCCATCACAAGAAAGGGCTGGCAAAGTGGCCAATGTGTAGGCTTTGAGTTTAAGCCCCTGTACTGCAAACAAACAAACAAAACAAGGAGTAAGTAGCCAGCTGAGCACTTTCTGTAGGAAGGAACTGACCACATTTCATCAGTTCTGAGACGCATTTTTGTCACTGGAGGTTGTCTCACAGTGGGCCTCAGAGCAGTGTCAGCCAGACAGCAGTTGTGATGTGACTGCTGTCATCACCTGTGCAGGTACACATTGGGTGTGCTCTTCCATTGTCATCATTTCTGAGTAATGTGTATTGTGCCACAGGTATTCAAGATAAGTACTTTTTAGGATGCTTTCAAAAAGATAATGCTGTGATTTGGCACCATAGTGAAAGGTTATTTTGTGCTAAGAAAGGCACTGGTGCAGAGCAATGGGATAAGGCTTCTGTCTGGGCGAGACATTGGGGAAGCCTGACCTCCAGCCCCAGTCAAGCCTGCAGATGACTGACCTCAAGGTAGGGCAGGGCTGTCCTATTTTATAGATACTGAAACTTAATCCCAGACTAAGCATTTCGCTCAGTGACATTTTTAGTTAATGTACTGAAGTAGATGTCAATCTAACCCATGTTGTAATTCACTTAAATTTTGAATTTAAATTCTGAATCTATTTAGGTCTAAACTGGTATTTTACTGATTATCAAAACATTTATTAATGGGGAATTCAGATGCTTTTGTGCCTCTGGATCTGTCCCTTGTATCTTTTATTAATGTTAATAACATACCCCACGTGTGTCTCTTTCTCCTTCTTGACACTAATCTGTTCCCTTACTCTTTCATGTATTAAACATTTACTGAGGACCTGTTAAGTGCCAGTGACTAGGAATATAAGAATGTGTAAACAGAGCCCTGACCTTTGCGTTTCAAGGCTGGCAATGTCTCCAAATCCATCTTCCTCTGCTTGAAAGGAAGAGGTGCCTTGCTCTCTCTCTGGCTCACCTGTGCCAGCAT